GCGACACCTTTTGCAAGGCACCAAGTCTGCATGAACCACACACGTGGTTGTGGCAAAACATACCACACACAAACGTGCTGCGATTTAAAGCTTTCGTGACTGCAGGGATTCATATTCTTGGTTCTTTCGGTAAAGTCACGTAGAAGGGAAATAATAAAATAATAAAAGTATAAAATAATAACATCCTCACGACGTTTCGACTGCAACTCAAGCAATCGTCATCATGTGTTTTATATTTTTATTATTTTATTGTTTCCCTTCTACGTGACTTTACCGAAAGAACCGAGAATACAAATGCCGTGATTATATATTCTGATTCATTGATCTCAAGGGGAATAATACGCAAGGGGAAAGCATGTTCACGTATTTCTTTGCTTTCGTTTTAAACACGTTACGATGAATGCTGTACGGAAAACAAAAAGCGAAAACTAAAATAATCCGCAAACGTTTTTGGGTTATGATGAAAAATCAAGAGTAGGGTTGACCCTTTCTGGCAAATGAAACAGTTTTTTCGGTAAATATTACTACAGAAAAATTTGCTGTGGCGGTTCCACCTGAAGACGGAGGCTTGTGTTGCTTCCGAAACGTCGTGATTTAATGTAGTTGTTCTCATTTTTTATTTTATTCATTTAATGTGTGATTTTATTTAGTTGTTCTCATTTTTTAGTTTTTTTTATTAATTAGTGATTTTTTTTTAATTGTTTTCATTTTTATTATTTTTACCTACGTGACTTTACAAAAAAAAAACAAAGAGTATGGATCCTTGCAGTCACGAAAACTTCAAATCTAGAAATGGAACAGTTCTTCTTGGTTCTTTCGGTAAAGTCACGTAGAATGGAAATAATAAAATAATAAAAATAAAACATAATAAAATTATTCTCACGACGTTTTGGTCACAACGCAAGCAGCCGTCCTCAGGTGAAGACCAGTTCTGTCGGAAAGACAGAGTCTGACAGACCTGTTCTTCACCTGAGGACGGCTGCTTGCGTTGTGGCCGAAACGTCGTGAGAATTATTTTATTATGTTTTATTTTTATTATTTTATTATTTCCATTCTACGTGACTTTACCGAAAGAACCAAGAAGATGAATCCCTGCAATCACGAAAGCTTTAAATCGAAATGAAACAGTTATTGAGATGCTCAAACACCAAACAAAAATACCTTTTGTCAAGGCATCACGTCTGCGTTGACCACACACACACACGTGCAAGTGCCAGAGTGCAGCTCACCATTACACGCCGGCAGATGGACGCTTCTTGCAATATTGTCGATTTCCCACTTGAGAGTGTTGTTGTTATTTGAGTGTGATTGCTTTACTTGATTGCTGTTCATTTGCTTTCGTCGATGTTGGAGGCGCAGGTTAAGTGCCAACGTGAGATATGGGGCCGTCCATAAATGACGTCACGCACCTAGGGGGGGGGGGGGGTCAGACATTTGTGACGATGTGTGACGATGGGGGGGGGGGAGGTTTGAGAAATGTGACGTCACATCAAAATGCGCAACTTTAAATAAATATAGACACGTTCTACTTAATTGAATAGACTTTTAAATAAATGTTTTCTCCTACAACATCAGAGTGCAGCGCCACATTAAATACGAACTACAATGACAATAGTTTAAAGCGATTTGAAGCATGTTTTTTTGGGGGGGGGCAGAGCTTTGTGACGTCATATTTGAGGGGGTCTGACTTTTTGTTAAATCATATTTGAGGGGGGGTCTGACTTTTTGTGACGCCGTGTGACGAAGGGTGACGTCATTTATGGACGGCCCCATCTCTATCATGGTATTATCTCAAGTTCCCAAACACAAACACCAACTTGAACTACCCGCGGAGGCTGCAGAGTTGGCATGTGCTGCCCTCTGCTGAGCGAATCTGAGTATCACCTTTCTACAACCAATTACTGTTTTGGTCATTGGGGAGATGTCCTCCTGCATCGGTGTTCTTTATTTGCAAGGGCCCGCGCGGTCCAATGCGGTCGCTGGTGGCCTTTAGTGTGGGCTCCTGACAATTCACAAACGTGAAAACCTTCACCATCGTGCTGCTGTAAAAGCCAACAAATGGTTCATCTTTTTGGTTCTTTCGGTAAAGTCACGTAGAATGGAAATAATAAAATAATAAAAATAAAACATAATAAAATCATTCTCACGACGTTTCGGCCACAACGCAAGCAGCCGTCCTCAGGTGAAGAACAGGTTTGTCATTCAGACGCTGTCTCCCCGACAGACCTGATCTTCACCTGAGGACGGCTACTTGCGTTGTGGCCGAAACGTCGTGAGAATTATTTTTTAAAATGTTTTATTTATATTATTTAATTATTTCCATTCTACGTGACTTTACCGAAAGAACCAAGAAGATGAATCCCTGCAGTCACGAAAGCTTTAAATCGAAATCCAACAAATGGTTGCAAATGTGTGGCAGACCTCACACTGACGATGTCTTATCGGCGAAAGTGGCACCCCCCCCCCTCTCTCTGAAATGTAGTGAAAAGCACTGTCCTAAAGGAATTCATCAGGCATCGGCTAGCGTCATTATTTGGTGATCCTGCATTGGCAGTTTTGCACAAGGACAATTAATAAAAAAAAATTACACAATGGGTTAATAAAACTGTGGCCTTAAAATGAAAAATACGTAATAGATGACGTTTTTTGGCAATCGCCCTCCTTCCTTTATGTGCAATGAAGAAGGATGATTGCCCGAAACGTTGCCTATTCTATATATGTTCATTCTACTATGGGATCGCTTTGAGATGTTTGAACGCTTGGATGTGGCGCGTTGTTGTCTCTATCCGTGTCGCGCAGCGCTCTTCATGATTTTTTCAGAGGGGGGCCACTTTTTGAAACCATCGTTGTGTTTGACAGCAGCGCAGTGACGATGATGGTGATGATGATGATAGGGGGTGTTGTGTCACCATTTGTGTTTCGTGTCGGAGGACCGCGCACCTCAGTGGCCGCACTAAAGGCCACCAGGGATCCCTCAGTGGCCCGTGGGGCCTTGCCATGAAGAACGCTGTTGTGTTGTGGTGTAAGCAGGGTGCAACTTCTGACTCGATAGTTTCTGGAACACTGCAAGGCCGGCTAATTCTACACAGCAGTATTGTACCCTGTATTCCTACACACAACCGCAATGCTCTATAAACCAGTAGTTTTTTACCTTAACTGCAACGTTTGCTTCCCTTTTAATAAAAATCTACAATGTTAATAAATACGTAGAGGATTTGATGAAACAAAGTAGTTGTACTTAGGTGACTTTTACTTACGTGACTTAACCGAAAAACCTAAGAATATGAATAAGAAAGTAGTTGTACTCACGTGCCAGCGCTTAATTTGTGTTTTCGATTATTTACCTTCTAAAAATATCTGGGCATGTCTCGCACTCCCAGAAAGGGCATCTCGCATCCCAGAGGGTACGTGCACCCCAGACTAAGAGCCACTACTTTAGACCGATGTGTTCCCATCTGCCTACGACTGACTTCCTTTTTCTCTCCAGCAAATGAATATATCCACTGTTCCTGTACAATGTCTTGAGATGTGCTCGCATTTAGATGTAAATCGTATTGTGTAGAAGACTCACACGGAGACCTTCAGGGGCCCATATACTCACACAGAGACCCAAGGATTCGTGTAGGAACCCATAGGCTCACATCGACACTTGGGACTTGGACGCTTCTTTGCAAAATAAATATGCTACGCCGTGTCTGCGTAACGTCTTGGGGTACGATACCTTGCTGATATTGTCAAGGAGCATAAACCATCACGGGAATTCTGGTCGAACAAAGAGGGTCACCGCATCACGCGTTTTCAGATGCGCCGTCTGGAACGCTCTTCCTTCCGATATTAGGAAGCCACTGGAGCTATGCGCTTTTCAATTCCGATTGAAAATAATTTCTTTAGAACTGTTTCTTGTGTTTAGTTAGTTGTCCTTGCCCCCCGCACCTCCGATTAGCACGGTTGGCTACATACAGTGCGAAATAAATTTAACATACATCCATAGCAATCTGGAAATCTGACATCCTAAAAAAAAGGTGAATTCGAAACTCACCCTTATTACATACCAGCGCAGCAAATGATCCCAGCAGTGGGATAAATCGGCCACCAGAAAACCCACCGCATTCAAGACTACGTACGGTGCAGAAGAAGTTCAACATGCATACGATCCATTTGAATCCACGTTGCAATCGCATTTTATGAACTATAAACAAAACTATTTTTAAATCCTTTATATTAAGTTCGCTTGCTTGCTTGCTTGAGTGCTTGCTTGCTTACGACCGTGCAAATCTTTCGGTCGTTTTTTAACCCACTTCCCGTGATCCAATCGAGCTGACATTTTCCACACAGACTCGTTGTGCGAGACAATTAATGTTCGTGAAAAAAAATTCCCAAAATTGTACACTTTTTAGGCAAAATTTTTTTATTTTACATATATTCAAATAGAACTCATTCATGGCTTTGGCTGAACGTCAGAGTGTAAAAGCCCAGAGCGTAACCCCTCCACAGGCCGTGGCGGAGTAGCGCAGTTGGTAGCGCCCTCGCTTCCCATGCCAAAGGTCGCGGGATCGATCCCCGCGTCCTCCACAGGCGAATATATTTTTAAATCCTTTATATTAAGTTCGCTGCCACGCATATAAAGGATTTATAGTGAAAAACTTTGTTTTTACGGGTTATACTTGTTATTTTACCAGGTAAGGCCCACTGAGCTATATAGCTCTTTTTCAGAAGCGACCTTGTCACAAATGATTGCCCAACGAAGTGGCTTATCATGTGTAAATGTATCTTAGCCAATCGCTCTAAACGAATGTTTTTAAATGCGGAGCTGAAAATCCCAGAGGGCCCGGAGAAAAAGCCACGCGACCACGGAGGAGAGAGACGCGCAAACTCCAAATGTACGGGCGTCAGGGACGGGCTCGAACCCACGACGTGCCGTGCACCAGGCGAGGTTGTTAACATCTCGCCACCGCGCATCGCCCATTCACCCTCCCCGCACCATCGCAGGCAGCCGCCCACACGGTCGGCAAGTACAAGCGGCAGCGCTACGTGACCAAGGATGGAAAGTGCCGTGTGCGGTTGGGCCACATCCAGGACAAGATGCGCTTCCTCTCCGACATGTTCACCACCATCGTTGACCTCAAGTACCGCTGGTTTCTCGCCATCTTCACGCTCTGCTACCTGCTCACGTGGTTGCTTTTCGGGCTCGTCTACCTGCTCATGGCGCTCATCCGAGGCGACCTCGACCCCCAGGAGGGGCACCAGGCGTGCTTCGACAACGTGGACGGCTTCCTCGGAGCACTGCTCTTCTCCGTCGAGACCCAGCGCACGATCGGGTACGCCGACTGCCAAGAGCCGGGCCGTCCGACTGAACACGGCTGTAGTGATTGCGCCGAATTCTGAGTTTGCTGTCCGCGGAGTTTCTGTGCCCCCCCCCCCCCACCACCTTGCTCGCCCGTCACCCCCCTCTCTCCGTTCAGCGTTTTCTGCACGGGGCTCGTGCCAATCTAGTTACTACTCCGGCCCTCCGGTGCGTGCCGGAGTAGTAAACTAGTCGCCACGTTTTCGATCACGTGACAAACCCTTGCTAAATGGCTGCGTCGGGTCGGTGGCGGGTAAAACGACGGCACACAATCTCGATTTGAAGCTTTCGCGACTGCAGGAATCAGCTGCTTGAGCAGTTTTTCTCTCGCTGTGGTTGTCCCACCTGATGACGATTGCTTGTGTTGCGATCGAAACGCCGTGATCTGTTATTATTTTTCTACCTACGTGACTTTACCGAAAGAACCGAAGAGTACGGCACACACATTTTATTGCGATCCAACACAACACAACAACACAACAACAGCACAACAACAAAAATCTTTACTACTTCCGCTGCACGTTAAAGCGATCGTCGCCTCCGTTCTGCCCCCAGGTACGGCACGCGGTCGGTGACGTCACAATGCCCAGAGGGAGCCATCTTGGTGATGGTGCAGTCCATCCTGGGCTCGATCATCGACGCGCTCATGGTGGGCTGCATGTTCGTGAAGATCGCGCGGCCCAAGAAGCGCGCCGAGACGCTCGTGTTCACGCAGCGCTGCGTCGTCTCGCAGCGCGACGGCCACATCTGCCTCATGTTCCGCCTCGGCGACCTGCGCGACACCCACCTCGTGGGCCCCAACATCCGCGCCAAGCTCGTCCGCTCGCGCCAGTCCCAGGTGACCGCCGCCGCCGCCGTCTCCGTCTCCACGAAAGAGACGGCGGCGGCGCGATGTTGTTACATTTTATTATTCTTCTTTATCTCATTCCTCTTCGTCTTCTTCGTCTTCTTCCTTATCTTCCTATGTTCCTTCTTATTTTCCTTCTTATTTTCCTTCTTCTTTATTTTCCTTCTTCCTTATCTTCCTATTTTCTTTCTTCTTTAGCTTCTTAGTTTCCTTCTTATTTTCCTTCTTCTTTTTCTTCTTTTCCTTCTTATTTTCCTTCTTTTTCTTATTCTTATTTTCCTTCTGCTTTTCCTTCTCATTTTCCTTTTTATTTTCATTCTTCTCTTCCTTCTTAATTTCCTTCTTCTTTTTCTTTTTTTCCTTCTTATTTTCCTTCTTCTTTATCTTCTTCTTTATCTTCTCCTTCATCTTTTCCTTCTTATTTTCCTTCTTCTTTATCTACTTATTTTCCTTCTTTAATTTTTCTTTTTTCTTTATCTTATTCTTGATCTCCCTCTTATTCTCTTTCTTCATCGTCTCCTTTATCTCATTAATCTTCCTCTTCTTCTTAACTTCTTCGCGATCGTCTTCCACTTCCTCTTGTTCTTCTAGCAGAGACGTGGGCAACCCGCAGCTCCGGAGCCGCGTGCGGTGGCTCTTTAAGGATCGCTTCATGACGTTGTTTATTAAGGACCCACCATGCATTGCGACTCGTGAAATATTGAGGTTTTTTTTTACCCTAATATTTTCCTTTCAATTGTCCCATCATTTCAATTGCCCTGTCATTTCAATTGCCCTGTCATTTCAATTGCCCTGTCATTTCAATTGCCCTGTCATATCAATTGCCCTGTCATTTCAATTGCCCTGTCATATCAATTGCCCTGTCATATCAATTGCCCTATCATTTCAATTGCCCTATCATTTCAATTACCCTGTCATTTCAATTGCCCTGTCATTTCAATTGTCTCGTCATTTTAATTGCCCTGTCATTTCAATTACCCTGTCATTTCAATTGCCCTGTCATTTCAATTGCCCTGTCATTTCAATTGCCCTGTCATTTCAATTGCCCTGTCATTTCAATTGCCCTGTCATTTCAATTGCCCTGTCATATCAATTGCCCTGTCATTTCAATTGTCTCGTCATTTCAATTGCCCTGTCATTTCAATTGCCCTGTCATTTCAATTGCCCTGTCATTTCAATTGCCCTGTCATTTCAATTGCCCTGTCATATCAATTGCCCTGTCATTTCAATTGCCCTGTCATTTCAATTGCCCGGTTATTTCAATTGCCCTGTCATTTCAATTGCCCTGTCATTTCAATTGCCCGGTTATTTCAATTGCCCTGTCATTTCAATTACCCTGTCATTTCAATTGCCCTGTCATTTCAATTACCCTGTCATTTCAATTGCCCTGTCATTTCAATTGCCCTGTCATTTCAATTGTCTCGTCATTTTAATTGCCCTGTCATTTCAATTACCCTGTCATTTCAATTGCCCTGTCATTTCAATTACCCTGTCATTTCAATTGCCCTGTCATTTCAATTGCCCTGTCATATCAATTGCCCTGTCATTTCAATTGTCTCGTCATTTCAATTGCCCTATCGTTTCAATTGCCCTGTCATTTCAATTGCCCTGTCATTTCAATTGCCCTGTCATTTCAATTGCCCTGTCATTTCAATTGTCTCGTCATTTCAATTGCCCTGTCATTTCAATTGCCCTGTTATTTCAAATGCCCTGTCATTTCAATTGCCCTGTTATTTCAATTGCCCTGTCATTTCAATTGCCCTGTCATTTCAATTGCCCTGTCATTTCAATTGCCCTGTCATTTCAATTGCCCTGTCATTTCAATTGCCCTGTCATTTCAATTGCCCTGTCATTTCAATTGTCTCGTCATTTTAATTGCCCTGTCATTTCAATTGTCTCGTCATTTCAATTGCCCTGTCATTTAAATTGTCTCGTCATTTTAATTGCCCTGTCATTTCAATTACCCTGTCATTTCAATTGCCCTGTCATTTCAATTGTCTCGTCATTTCAATTGCCCTGTCATTTCAATTGCCCTGTCATTTCAATTGCCCTGTCATTTCAATTGTCTCGTCATTTCAATTGCCCTGTCATTTCAATTTCCCTGTCATTTCAATTGCCCTGTCATTTCAATTGCCCTGTCATTTCAATTGCCCTGTCATTTCAATTGTCTCGTCATTTCAATTGCCCTGTCATTTAAATTGTCTCGTCATTTTAATTGCCCTGTCATTTCAATTGCCCTGTCATTTCAATTGCCCTGTCATTTCAATTGTCTCGTCATTTCAATTGCCCTGTCATTTCAATTGCCCTGTCATTTCAATTGCCCTGTCATTTCAATTGCCCTGTCATTTCAATTGTCTCGTCATTTTAATTGCCCTGTCATTTCAATTGTCTCGTCATTTCAATTGCCCTGTCATTTAAATTGTCTCGTCATTTTAATTGCCCTGTCATTTCAATTACCCTGTCATTTCAATTGCCCTGTCATTTCAATTGCCCTGTCATTTCAATTGCCCTGTCATTTCAATTGTCTCGTCATTTCAATTGCCCTGTCATTTCAATTGCCCTGTCATTTCAATTGCCCTGTCATTTCAATTGTCTCGTCATTTCAATTGCCCTGTCATTTCAATTGCCATGTAATTTCAATCATCTCGTCATTTCAATTGCCCTGTCATATGAATTGACCTGTCATTTCAATTGCCCTGTCATATCAATTGCCCTGTCATTTCAATTGTCTCGTCATTTCAATTGCCCTGTCATTTCAATTGCCCTGTCATTTCAATTGTCTCGTCATTTTAATTGCCCTGTCATTTCAATTGTTTCGTCATTTCAATTGCCCTGTCATTTCAATTGTCTCGTCATTTTAATTGCCCTGTCATTTCAATTACTCTGTCATTTAAATTGTCTCGTCATTTCAATTGCCCTGTCATTTCAATTACCCTGTCATTTAAATTGTCTCGTCATTTCAATTGCCCTGTCATTTCAATTGCCCTGTCATTTCAATTGCCCTGTCATTTCAATTGCCCTGTCATTTCAATTGCCCTGTCATTTCAATTGCCCTGTCATTTCAATTGCCCTGTCATTTCAATTGCCCTATCATTTCAATTGCCCTGTCATATCAATTGCCCTCTCATATCAATTGCCCTGTCATTTCAATTGCCCTGTCATTTCAATTACCCTGTCATTTCAATTGCCCTGTCATTTCAATTGTCTCGTCATTTCAATTGCCCTGTCATTTCAATTGCCCTGTCATTTCAATTGCCCTGTCATTTCAATTGTCTCGTCATTTCAATTGCCCTGTCATTTCAATTGCCCTGTCATTTCAATTGCCCTGTCATTTCAATTGTCTCGTCATTTCAATTGCCCTGTCATTTCAATTGCCATGTAATTTCAATCATCTCGTCATTTCAATTGCCCTGTCATATGAATTGACCTGTCATTTCAATTGCCCTGTCATATCAATTGCCCTGTCATTTCAATTGTCTCGTCATTTCAATTGCCCTGTCATTTCAATTGCCCTGTCATTTCAATTGTCTCGTCATTTTAATTGCCCTGTCATTTCAATTGTTTCGTCATTTCAATTGCCCTGTCATTTCAATTGTCTCGTCATTTTAATTGCCCTGTCATTTCAATTACTCTGTCATTTAAATTGTCTCGTCATTTCAATTGCCCTGTCATTTCAATTACCCTGTCATTTAAATTGTCTCGTCATTTCAATTGCCCTGTCATTTCAATTGCCCTGTCATTTCAATTGCCCTGTCATTTCAATTGCCCTGTCATTTCAATTGCCCTGTCATTTCAATTGCCCTGTCATTTCAATTGCCCTGTCATTTCAATTGCCCTATCATTTCAATTGCCCTGTCATATCAATTGCCCTCTCATATCAATTGCCCTGTCATTTCAATTGCCCTGTCATTTCAATTACCCTGTCATTTCAATTGCCCTGTCATTTCAATTGTCTCGTCATTTCAATTGCCCTGTCATTTCAATTGCCCTGTCATTTCAATTGCCCTGTCATTTCAATTGCCCTGTCATATCAATTGCCCTGTCATTTCAATTGCCCTGTCATTTCAATTGCCCTGTCATATAAATTGCCCTGTCATTTCAATTGCCCTGTCATTTCAATTGCCCTGTCATTTCAATTGCCCTGTCATTTCAATTGTCTCGTCATTTCAATTGCCCTGTCATTTCAATTGCCCTGTCATTTCAATTGCCCTGTCATTTCAATTGCCCTGTCTTTTCAATTGCCCTGTCATTTCAATTGCCCTGTCATTTCAATTGCCCTGTCATTTCAATTGCCTTGTCATTTCAATTGCCGTGTCATTTAAATTGCCCTGTCATTTCAGTCATCTCGTCATTTCAATTGCCCTGTCATTTCAATTGCCCTGTCATTTCAATTGCCCTGTCATTTCAATCATCTCGTCATTTCAATTTCCCTGTCATTTCAATTGTCTCGTCATTTCAATCATCTCGTCATTTCAATTTCCCTGTCATTTCAATTGTCTCGTCATATCAATCCTCTCGTCATTTCAACCGTCTTATAATTCCAATCGTCTCGTCATTTCAACCGTCTCGTCATTCCCAATCGCCCCACGTCACTCCCTCCAATCGCCCCATCACTCCAATGGTCTCGGGCGGCAGGAGGGGGAGTTCCTGCCGCTGGAGCAGTCGGACATCAACCTGGGGAGCGAGACGGGTAGGAACAGCCTCTTCCTCGTGGAGCCTCTGCTCATCTACCACGTGATCGACGCGAGCAGCCCCTTCTGGGAGTTCTCGGCGGAGTCGCTGCAGCGCGAGGAGTTCGAGATCGTCGTCATCCTGCAGGGGACGATAGAAGCCACCGGTACGAGCTCTGAAACGCTGACCAATTAGAGGCCGTCCATAAATTTGTCTGTCCGCCTGATGGTGCCGGTTGTAATTACTGGCGAAACGTCGTACTACAGATTGTCAATGTTGTGGCTTTGCTCTCCAACACACCGGTGGTGCTAAACTAGCAACAAATTGGCCACGTTCTGTTTACGTGATAAAACATCACTAATTGGCTGTGTCGGGTGGTGGCGGGTTTAACGACACATATATATTTACGAGAGAAACCCCCAAACAAACCTTTATTGTGGATGATATTGGTCGCAAAAGCCTCCATGCGTGCGAAACTCATTTGACATTCCAAGAACCGACCAAACATCCTGATTTGGCCACAATACTCTCGACTATCCAACGGCTGCCTCAATGTCCTGAAACGTCGTGATTTATTTGATTTTTACCTACGTGACTTTGACCGAAAGAACCAAAGAGTATGGATTCCTGCAGTCACGAAAGCTTCAAATCAAGATCATACTATTCATATTCTTAGGTTTTTTTTTTCGGTTAAGTCACGTAGGTAATAAAAAAAATTTAATAAAATTTTAATACAAATTTTTTTTATTTAATATTTTTTTTACCTACGTGACTTTACCGAAAAAACCTAAGACCATGAATCCTTGCAGTCACGAAAGTTCAAATCTAGAATCAAAATCATACTACCACTCCGTGTTAAACTGGGCTTTTAACGTCCCAGCAAACACGCGCACACTCCAAGGCAAGCGAAGCAGCAACGACATCGTCGAAACGGTCAATTCGAACGTAACGCGCTCCCCCACCCATCCCACCCAGGCATGACGTGCCAGGCGCTGACGTCCTACACCAACGACGAGATTCTGTGGGGTCATCGCTTCGAGCCGGTGATGTCGCTGGTGAAGGGCGCATTCAAGGTAACGGGCTTTGCAGTGAAAACGAACACGGAGCCGGAGAGGATTTTTTGGTAAAGTCACGTAGAAAAAAAAATAATAATAAAAAATAAAAATAAATGAAAATAACTAAATTAAATCACGATGTTTTGGGGGCAACACAAGTCCTCGTCTTCAGGTGGGACCGTCACAGCCAAATTTACTGCATCATACAGTAAATTATTATTCTTCTTGGTTCTTTCGGTAAAGTCACGTAGAAGGGAAATAATAAAATAATAAAAATAATAAAATACAATTATATTTTGTATTTTATTACGTATCATAAAATAATACAAATTAAACATAATAAAATACAATTGTATTTTGTATTTTATTATGTTTTCTTTTTATTATTTTATTATTTCCCTTCTACGTGACTTTACCGAAAGAACCAAGAAGATTAATAATTTACTGTATGATGCAGTAAATTTGGCTGTGACGGTCCCACCTGAAGACGGAGACTTGTGTTGCCTCCGAAACGTCGTGATTGAATTTAGTTATTTTCATTTATTATTATTTTATTATTATTATTTTACCTACGTGACTTTACCGAAAAAACCTAAAAGTATGAATCCTTGCAGTCACGAAAGCTTCAAATCTAGAACCGGAGAGGATTCTTTTGCTTGTTTTTGTCCGAGTAACTTTTAGCCTCCAGGTTTTTTTTTAAACCCGGCGTGAGTTAGATGCATATTCACGGGGTGGAGAATGAAAGACGACGAGTGGAGTATAAAGCTCTCGGTGTGACGTAGCGCCATTCACACAAGTCCCTCTCACCTCGCTTTACAACACAATCCCCCGTAACATTAAAACTAAGAAGGTATACGACCCCTACACTGACGGATACGCAAGGGAAAATAAACGTGTTTCAAGACGAACCCTAAAACCCTCGACTGACGGAACGTCTCTGAAGGCATGAGGATTTTAAATAAACAATTGACCAACATCTTCTTGGTTCTTTCGGTAAAGTCACGTAGAAGGGAAGTAATAAAACAATAAAAATAAAACATAATAAAATAATTCTCACGGTTGTCATTCAGACTCTGTCTTCTCGACCTGTTCTTCACCTGAGGACGGCTGCTTGCGTTGTGGCCGAAACGTCGTGAGAATTATTTTATTATGTTTTATTTTTATTATTTTATTACTTCCCTTTTACGTGACTTTACCGAAAGAACCAAGAAGATGAATCCCTGCAGTCACGAAAGCTTTAAATCGAAATGGACCAACATTTATTGCGAATTAATAATAAAAAATAATCAACCTCACCGAGATGGAACTCTTTCCGCATCTCCGCAGGTGGACTACAGCTGCTTCGAGAACACGTACGAGGTGAACTTGCCGACCTGCAGCGCCAAGGAGATGTACGAGAAGCAGCAGGCGGCCCTCGGCCTCATCTAACATCACCGCCGGACGGCAGGGGCCACTCAGAATGGGTCAGTGGGGCGGTCGGGAAAAATTGGCCATTTGCCACTTTTGCCCCAAACAGGGCCCAACAATTCGCATGGACTTTCCAACAGACCTGTTCTTCACCTGAGGACGGCTGCTTGCGTTGTGGCCGAAACGTCGTGAGAATTATTTTATTATTTCTAGATTTGAAGCTTTCGTGACTGCAAGTATTCATATTCTTAGGTTTTTTTTCGGTAAAGTCACGTAGGTAAAAAAATAAAATTGTAACTATTTTATTTTTATTTTACTTTTATTAATTTTTATTTTTTTTACCTACGTGACTTTACCGAAAAAAAACCTAAGAATATAATTTTATTATGTTGTATTTTTATTATTTTATTATTTCCCTTCTACGTGACTTTACCTAAAGAACCAAGAAGATGAATCCCTGCAGTCACGAAAGCTTTAAATCGAAATTTAAATGGTTATTTTTGGTGAGGGTGGTTTAAGGCCCCCCCCCCCCCCCCCCCACGTGACATTCTGTGTTCTGGGCCTTCCCAAGAGCCTCGAGGTGACCCTGCTGGAAGGTTCCACCAATGCTATTAAATCGACTGGAGTTGGGACGATTCGTCAGTTAGGTCAATGAATGAGTCAATCGGGTCAAGTCGTCGATAAAAAGGTGGCCACCCCAACATTCCGTCTCCCAAAGGTGAGAAACCCCTTTACAAGCTCCACACATCATCTTCCTCGGAGGTCAGAATGTGGAGTTTGCACCACTGAGAGTTCAAATCCGGGTTTTCTGTTGCCCGTGATTGAACTGTGTTCTCAATTGTCGTGAGTTGATTGCTTTGTTTCAGCCCCGTAAACAATGACTGTAGAAAAACACCACCCACGAAATTTAATGTGGCTCTGCACTTAGCTTTGAAAATTAATTCTACTTTTGGTCTAACTGTCGTATCACAAACATTACTCACGGTGGGAGGCGGGTGAGAAATGACAGTGTCGCCTGATGTCATTAAGAGGTCACTAGAACAGATTTCAGATGTGATCATGTAATGTCGACTTCCACGGATTGTTCTCCTGTTCTCTCACACAGGGTGATGTACTTCTCTTTTAGAGTTCAAAAATAGATTCTTCATATTCTTTGGGTCTTTCGGTAAAGTCGCGTAGATAGGTTCAAATTAATAAAAACAACTGCGACGTTTCGATCACAACACAAGCGATCCTCATCAGAAGGAACAAGTATAACCCGTAAAAACAAAGTTTTTCACTATAAATCCTTTATATGCGTGGCGGCTAGAGTCCTCTCGTCCTCTGGCTTGAGATGGCTGCCACCTATGGGTCAGATGATTGCATTGCACAATTAAGCAATTGGTAATTAAATATAATATTTTTGTCCTAAAAAGTGTAAAATTTTGGAAAAACAATTTTCACGAACATTAATTGTCACACACAACGAGTCTGTGTGCAAAATGTCAGCTCGATTGGATCACGGGAAGTGGGTTAAAAAACGACCGAAAAATTTGCACGGTCGTAAGCAACCAAGCGAACTTAATATAAAGAATTTAAAAAAGACGGCGATCGCTTGTGTTGTGATCGAAACGTCGTAGTTTTATTTTATTTTATTGTTATCATTTGAACCTATCTACGTGACTTTACCGAAAGACCCAAACAATATGAATTCCTGCAGTCACGAAAGCTTTAAGTCAAGATTTAGATTTTAATGTACTACTTATGTATTTACTGTTTACTATTAAACGACTATGTTTATTTTACCAGGTAACACCCACTGAGCTATATAGCTCTTATTTCAGAAGCTCAACGAAGTGGATTATCGTGTGGAAATGTATAGCAACCAAATACTCTAAACGCATGTTTCTAAATGCGGAGGGAAAAACCGGAGTACCTGGAGAAAATCCACGCAACCACGGGGAAAATATGCAAACTCGAAATATGTAGGCGTCAGGGTCGGGGTGAAAGCAAAATATAGTAATAGGTTTTTACCCTTTCAACAAGGGTAACAAAAAAAGGGTAAAACCCTATTACTATATTTTGCCACTGGTAAAGGAGGTCTCATAGTGTAAATGCTAACCCCGAGCTCTCAATACTCTGATAGTGCGCTGTTTTTGAGTTGTACGCCTTTTGGCGTCATCTGGTCCAACACCAATGGAGACTAGGCTCTAAGAAAAGCTGTCTCGGGTGTGGACCAATCAACTTCAAGGACAGTGCATATCATTATCATGATCAGAGTTGTTTCTTTTTGTTAAATCCTTTATATTAAGTGCACTTGCTTGCTTGCGCGCTTACGACCGTGCAAATCTTTAGGTCGTTTTTTAACCCACTTCCCGTGATCCAATCGAGCTGACATTTTGCACACAGACTCGTTGTGCGTGACAATTTCTTTTCGTGAAAAAAATTCCAAAATTTTACACTTTTTAGGTAAATTTTTTTTATATTTAATTACCAATTGCTTAATGGTGCAGTCAATCATCTGACCCATAGGTGGCAGCCATCTCAAGCCAGAGGACGAGAGGACTCTAGCTGCCCGTTTCAAAGACCAATGTGGGCTGGGTTGTGGCCCATTGAACACGCATATAAAGGATTTATAGTGAAAAACTTTGTTTTTACGGGTAATTTTTTTTGCATTTTGACTGCTTGTGTTGTGGTTATTGCAAACATGATCCCTTGTATAAAGGTGTGAGTTTTTGTACCAGTTGAAAGGGTACAAACTATTACTACTAGGATATGAACACTTTCGTATGCTAAAATTATAAGGAATGTATTTGACTTGTATTGACTTGTTTACCCAAGACAGCCTTGCTGAGTCTCAACACTCTTAGTGTTTAGCATGTTGGAGTACACTGGAGTATCCATGGAATACCCATACATGATTGGGTAACAGATAACGATGCACACCAAAAGTCAATAATCGATTGCTGTACTGCCACATGGCCACCTTGGAATCTACCAAGATTACACACACAAATGTACAATACTTTATTACTAGTTGTAAATAATAATACAAACATTTAACATGTGTACATTAGCCACTGAGTGTAATCTCCATCTCGATATATATAAAAGGCAAAATTGTGAATATGTGTCTGTTCAAAATGTTTAGCGTACTTCCCAACATGCAACAAACTTTGCCATGTGGGTACTTTCCAGACTGTACACCATGCAAAAATTATGAAAATACACTTTAGTTTTTTTTGTGGGAGGGGGGGAGCTCAAAAATGCATATATTTTTTGCACAGCAACTGAACTGTGACGTTAAATCTGTCACGTGACCCACACACGTGGAAGCGTAACGCATTGTAGTGTAGCGGGTAGCGCGCTGTGCTACGAACTTGGCGATCCGAGTTCGATTCCCGCTCACGGCCACCACCGGTAACGATGATTCAGCCGCTCCTGTGCCTCCCCTAGGTCGACTCAGCCTCTAAACGAGTAACTGGTGTGGTGTGTGAACATCGCCACTGGGGAGACAAAGGCGGCCGGGCGTGGTGGATCCAAGTCCCGGGCGAAGCCGGGGTAGTACAGCTAGTGAATTTATAAAAGCGAATAAAACATTTCAGACTGTAATTATCTTTTATTACCTCCTGCTATCTAGTATTTATTTGCGCTGTTAATAAAATTGAGATTGTTTATGTGTGTGACTGTTTAGAATCGTCGAAGATGGTTCATCCAAGATAACAGATTAAATGTTCATCTTTGGCCTCACTCCCATCACCATTGGCATAGATAGTTTTCAGTCCAGACAGGATATGGCTTGAACGCATTTTTAGTTGCATCCTTATTACTTGATTTCTTTCGGCACGGTAAAAAAACGTGTCGATGAACCCTCCACCACCCGACATCCAATGAATAAATTTGGCACGGGGACAAAACGTGGCAATGTATTTATGCTTCAACACCACGAGCGTGTTGCTGAAGAACGGTATGGTCATTCATCTCCCTCCCCTTCGCACGTGAAGGGCTCACAATCGATGCCATCACAACCACCCCTCTATTTAAGGAACGAAACAGGATTTCACCACAAATTTGTCTGTCCGCCTGATGGTGCCGGTTGTAATTAGTGGCGAAACGTCGTACGGCAGATTGTAAATGTTGTTGCTTTGCTCTCCAACACACCGGTGGTGCTGAACTAGTAACGAATTGGCCACGTTTTGTTAACGTGACAAACCTTAAATTTCGATTTTAAGCTTTCGTGACAGCAGGGATTCATCTTCTTGGTTCTTTCGGTAAAGTCACGTAGAAGGGAAATAATAAAATAATAAAATTATTCTCACGACGTTTCGGCCACAACGCAAGCAGGACGGCTGCTTGCGTTGTGGCCGAAACGTCGTGAGAATTATTTTATTGTTTTATTTTTATTATTTTATTACTTCCCTTCTACGTGACTTTACCGAAAGAACCAAGAAGGTGACAAACCTTACTAAATGGCTGCGTCGGGTGGTGGTGGGTTTAACGACACATTGATATTCATGCCAATTCGTTACTAGTACAGCACACCGGTGTGTTGGAGAGTAAACCCACTACAACATTTACGAGCACCGTTACATTTTGCCAGCAATTACAACAACCAGCATCATCAGGCGACAGCCAGATTTGTGTAAACATCCTCTTATTCTTTGGGTCTTTCGGTAAAGTCACGTAGATAGGTTCAAAGGAAATAATAAAAACTACGACGTTTCGATCGCAAAACACAAGCGGTCGTCTTCAGGAAAAAGGGGGGTTAGCTTCTAAAGGCAAACTGTTTATAAGGGTTTGAAATGGGCGTAGTACAAATGTCAGCAACCAATTTTAATGCAAGTGGTTATCCACCAATCAATCATCCTCTTGTTTCGTAATGTTGATCACATTACTAATTGGCTGTGTCGAGTGGTGGCGGGTTTAACGACACGTTTATATTGACGCGATCTAACCCTTTTCTCTCCAAAAATTAAACCCTGCGTTATGAAATCTGTGTTACTTTTTAAATCCTTTATATTAAGTTCACTTGCTTGCTTGCTTACGACCGTGCAAATCTTTCGGTCGTTTTTTAACCTACTTCCGTGATCCAATCGAGCTGACATTTTGCACACAGACTCGTTGTGCGTGACAATTTATTTTCGTGAAAATTTTGAAAAAAAATTTCGAAAATTTTCCACTTTTTCGGAAGAAATTTTTTTTTCATATTTAATTTAAAAACCAATGTGATAAAAATGAAACGCTTACTCAAGAAAAACAGAAATGGATAATAAAATAAAACCGATGCCACGCATATAAAGGATTTATAGTGAAAAACTTTGTTTTTACGGGTTAATTTTTTTTAATGAAATGCATGGCCATCTTCTGGAAGACGGTAGATGTCAATAAAACTCGCCGGAATTCATCTTCTGGAAGTGGAATACTGCAACGGCGCTCCGTCCAATGCACAATAACAAACGCAGGAAGATTTCTTCTGGAAGACGAAGATTCACCCAATAAAGCGATAATAATCTTCCGGAAGAAGAAGTTGACATCAAACGGCGGACGTTTGATTCTGGAAGCAGAAGACGCTGCTAATAAAACACGAATTCCTCTTCCGGAAGATGACACTTCCAGTTTAAACCGCTGGCTATTGGCTTCTTGAAACTGAAGAACATTTCGATAAGCTTTCGTGACTGCAGGGATTCATCTTCTTGGTTCTTTCGGTAAAGTCACGTAGAAGGGAAGTAATACAATAATAAAAATAAAACATAATAAAATTAAATGTTTTTTTTTCTAGATTTGAAGCTTTCGTGACTGCAAGGATTCATATTCTTAGGTTTTTTCGGTAAAGTCACGTAGGTAAAACATTAAAATTAATAAAAATAAAAATCACGACGTTTCGGTTTCACCTGAAGACGGAAGCTTGTGTTGCCTCCGAAACGTCGTGATTTTTATTTTTATTAATTTTAATGTTTTACCTACGTGACTTTACCGAAAAAAACCTAAGAATATGTTTTATTTTTATTATTTTATTACTTCCCTTCTACGTGACTTTACCGAAAGAACCAAGAAGATGAAGAACATTTATATAGCTTCTAGATTTGAAGCTTTCGTGACTGCAACGATTCATATTCTTAGGTTTTTTTCGGTAAAGTCACGTAGGTAAAAAAAATTAATAAAAGTAAAATAAAAATAAAATAAAAATATAATATAATATAAAATAATACATTTTAATTTTTTACCTACGTGACTTTACCGAAAAAACCCAAGAATATGAATCCTTGTGTTGCCTCCGAAACGTAAGAAGAAGCTCCTTTCCCAATTAAATAACTCTACCGGAAGAAGGCTGCGGCAAGCCTCTACCAATAAAACGCGGTGCGATCTTCCAGAAGAGACCCTGTCCCATCGCGAGATTTCCACTCTCGCGAGATCTCAACTCTCGCGAGACTTCGCCTACATCCGGATTTCGTCTTCACCGAGAGTCGAGGGCCTTTGAAAAGCACCACCACCATCTCCACCACTTCGGGTCCTGCGTTTACATTTATCTCAATAAAGAGGTTCGATAACACCACGCGTTAGCTATCAGACGCGGGGGGAAGGTTATTATCGTTTATTTGAAGCTTTTGTGACCGCAGGAATCAATACTCGCTGGGTTCATTCGGTAAAGCCGCGTAGATATTAAACAAATTTAAAATAAAATAAAACGACGTTTCGGTCGCAACACAAGCGTCCGAATTCAGGTGAGGAATACAAATGTATCTGCTGTTGTGGCTTTATATAGGCACGGGAGAGGGTAGGGAATGGACGGGGGGAGGGTGTTTGGCTGTAGGAGTTCACAGGAGAGATGGGGGGTGGGAGGGTTATCTACATGACTTTACCGAAAGAACCAAAGAGTATCGTCATTGTTATTGTTGTTGTTTGTGTGAAGGGATTTGCTCTGTCGACGCGGCTGGGGATGCTTACGAAGCGATTGAGAATGAGGAGGGCGAGCGGCAGAGTTGAGGGGAGGACCGCGGCGATTTGACGTCCGTTGATATCGGACCACGAAGCGGTCGGTCTCATCCAGCGGTGGAGTGACAACGCCACGTTAACCCGATACAACTAATGGATCGATTAATGCCACTGTTGTTTTTGTTCTCTTTGTATGTGTGGAAGTTTGTTTAGGGCCTATACTTGCCCCCCCCCCCGACTCTGTAGCCCGATAGAGGCGCATACGTTCACCGTAACGTTGAACAAAAACAAATTACAGTATTGGAAGCTCAAGGCAAAATCAATATTTCAAGCGAGATAATCTGTATCACTGTTATTAGATTTTGGTGGGTATTTGATATATGATTTCGGTTATATATTTCCAATTAATGGGGGTTCACAATGAAAAATATATTAACTTGTTTTTCAAAAGCTCTACAGAGAAAACATAAGCTTGTATGTCATTTAAAGAAAAATAACGATAGAAGTAATGTTAATGAACAGCCCTTTGTCTATCCAATGCGGAATGAAGACTATCCTTGGTGCGTCGGTTGTAGGTTTGTTTCACCACCACACTTCAACACGCTGGTCAGTACGGATTGGTAGGGATGGTGGCCCAGAAACCACAGTGGGAATATCGCTTGCCACTTGTCAGCCGTGGCCATTCAACAAACTCTGTCGCCAAGTTCACATTGCAGTGCGCTCACTGCAGGTCAGTTTTGATGCAGAGTATTGTTTTTGAAATTCAAATATTGACAAATCTGCACAGCCAAGACATGGTCAATTACTTTAGATGTCTTAATTTATGCTTAAATTGTCACCCGTGTTGTGCAGGTCCATTTGATTCAGGATGAATTTGGAGCGGGTCACCAATGAAGACAAGCTCAGCCTCTGCAGGAAATACTACAGAGGTAACGACGCGAGTGTGAAAATGACGTCCATGTCTTCTTGTTCAGTTGCCCGACACCTCACCAATAAAAGTGAACACGTCACCCCAATTCGCTCCAGTCAGTGCTGGATCAACATCTCGATCCCACCACCTTCAAGATTCCTCCATGGATTCGTCATTGCCTACCTCTCCTCGTATCGCATTCTACTTTCCTCTATGCACACTGCTGCACCATTCAAGGCCTTCTGTTGAAGCTTTCAGTCAAACGTCACTCAGTCGGTTGCTCATTCTCATCCATTGCCTATGGCTGCCTCTATCAACAAAATACATTTGCCCACCATTTCATTACGGCATCTTGAGAGGTGGTCATGTTTAGAAACTCTGTACATCCAAACTTTGTTGTTGTGTATTTTAAGGACCGGTTGAAGCATCTGTCCCGATCAAGCAATCACGGTTATTTTCGTGAGCACACCCTGCCACAAGCAGCTGGTCCATTGTTACGCACGGAGTGAAGGAAAGTGAGACCATCAGTGGTTTGCAGAACACCTATGTCAATCTGAATGTGGTGAAAGCTAAATGAATGCGTTTTCCATTACGCGTTTGGGTATTGTCTTGTCCATGCTGAACTCTGGGCTCTGGAAAATCCTTACCGACACACTTTCCGTTACTTTGCGAATTCACGATTCAACACAATGGGGAACACAGATGTGTGCCATTTTTTACTTTTTATGTACCGTTTTACCACCAAGATGTACCCAAGGCTGCTCATTTGTGTGGTACTATTGTGCCGTTTCATCATTGGCCATAATCTAACGACTGCTGGATGAGCATAGTTGGCATGGTTGACTACGTACGGTACAAAATAAGTTCAACACATACATTAAAGGTCTCGCTAAGCTGGTCACCATCTCAGTCCAGCGATGCAGCAATTGTACTAGGCCTGCACACCAGCTGATTTCATTGCTGCTTATCCACAGTGGGCCTCTGCTTGGGCACTTTCACTCCTTTGTCTGTTCATAGTAAGTTTTAGCAAAGTAATGATTATATTCTTGGTTCTTTCGGTGAAGTTCTTTCGGTAAAAGACTTTACCGAAAGAACCATGAATATGAATCCCTGCAGTCACGAAAGCTTTAAATTAAAAGTAATGATTAATTCAGTTGTCGAGCTTTTGTTGCATCTGTAACATCCATTTACTGAAAGCATATCAATTGTATTTTGATAACTATTAAACTGTACTTTGTAGGCATTGATGAATTTATCCTGGCTAAATTTTTCTGGGAAAAAAGACCCATGCGTTGAAGTTATCTGATAGGGATAAATTATATTTTGAAAGGTGCTTTGTCCTGTGAATGATGCCACCGCCGTGGCTGCACATCACGCAATAAACACTTGCATAACGTGTTTGCTTAGCTCTTGCTGACGTTCGGATTTCTGCATTTGGGGATATGAGCGGTAATCCCGGCTGTCAGCTTTAATACGCATGAAACGTGTGATTCATTCCAAAGCCAAGGTCAGCACTCGGCCAGAGTGAACCGCTCACTTAGGATTAAAAAGCAAGTCAGTCATGTTACTTTGTCGAGCAATTAGTGCATTCTGCTTTTGAACATAATGTGCGACTTTTTTTTGGAATGTTTTGGCGTCCTAATTTTTTGTTTGTGATATATGTATTCCATTTCATCATCCTCATCATCATCAATCAGCCCATGACCAATCCACGACTGGATGAAGGCCTCTACCCAAGTCGCCACCATCCTTCAGTTCCACAATGTGACATTCCATCCCAGCAACTGCAGCAATGTCCTTTTGGGTGCTTTCCCTCTTTTAGCTGTTGCTACTAAATCGTTATTCTAGTTCCTCCGGCGGCTAACGTATCCTGCCCAAACCCAGTTGCTGTACTTTTCTTAACAAGAAAAGATTACCTCATTAACCTGCGTTCCACTTTATCTCTCAGTATAATCCAAACTCATCTCTCCATGTTTATTTGTTCACATTTTAGGTTTTGTTCCATCCTCAGTACGGAACCATGTTTCTTATTAAATGTTTCGCACTTGAAATGGGTTTAGATAATTCAATATAGTGGTGATTTATTCACATATAGGAAACCATTGGTGTACATGTAAACTGTGGCATTTGTATGGACAAACTTTAGCTGACATGGGAATTTTAGTTCCAGGTTTGATATGCACCACATTTAAAGCTCGTGGTAGCCATGAGCAGGCAGAACGGTAATTGATTCTTAAAAGTATCTGCATGGAGCTTTGAGTGTTACCCTGTTTTATGTATAGGATTTCCCGGCTTCCTCCAGTTTCCCAGCCGCAGGGTCCATGGTGGTGCAGCGATATCCATTGTTGTACCGTACTATGCTTTCATGTTTATGCCCTTCTCTATGCCTTCACCAACCATCATTTTTCAGCGTGGTGAAGTATGGTCAACGCCCACGGATCCGCATCCAGCCGTTGATTGACATGTGCATGAACTCTGAAATCCTCCCACGTCAAACACTCACTGGAATGGAATAGGCCAAACATTCCACTACAGGATAAGAATTAAAGGATAAGGATTTGCTTTAGGGTGCCTAAATGCCATCTGACAGTATTTTAGTTTCAAAGAGGGAGGATTGATGAAAGCTTCATTGAGTTTCAAGAGCCTTGGCATAAGCGAGGCTTGCATGGCTATTTTTATAAAGCAATTTACAAACCTACTGAACATGTTAAAATAAAAAAAATGTTTATACTTGTTTTGATACACCAGCTGCGTACGTTTAACAATGGATCATTCTGTCCGCTGGATATTTGAACATTCGTGGAACAGATTGGACCTCAAATTGTCTTAACACCTCGTGGGAGCACGGTGTTCTTCTCTCTACACTGAATATGTTTGAATACTGGCCCAGAGTTGTGACGTCAGCCGAAATCGAGTGATTGACATCTTTTTTAAACTAAATAAGCTATTTGCCGAGCTATGTCCCTACCCAAATTACCGACCGTTTCCAACCGTGGCGAGCTTTCAAGGTGGAATGTGATCAAACAGCATTGTGGTCAAACAGCATTGTGGTCAAGGATGTGTGACGAGCCAAGAAATCATGTCCTGGATAAGTGGAACAAGTCGTCTTGATGTGTCCGTTCATCCTTTGTTGCTTTCTGCAATGGTACGCAGGAGGATTTATTCTGCTGCCCTTCCTCTGGCTGGTGAATTCCATCTGGTTCTTCAAGGAAGCATTCATGAAGCCACAATACCAGGAGCAAGCCGAGATCAAAAAGTGTGAGTGCCATGCCCTTGGGTCTACATTGATTTATTGTTCATGCCATTTTTTTTTCCCTACTTATGTGGGGTCTGCCTGCCTTGCTGCCTTTCTCCACTCATTCATTTTACTGGGACATCTTCATATCCATTCCAGTCCTTCACGTCCTGGTTGTCCACTTGAAACCACCTCTTTCTCGGCCTGCCTCAGTCTTCACCATGGTGCTTCTATGATCATCACCTTCCTTCCGATGTGGTTTTCCTCTCGTCTTACAATATGTCCTAACCCATCGACTCGCCTTACTACCTTAAGTTAAATTACTTAAGGTAATAAAATACATCAAATGTTATAACACATGCACACTAAAAGTGTATTTCTTGTTGCATCCACCACTTTGGTGAATTCCATGGCACGTTGTTTGCTTAGCTTAAATCATTACGCCTAATCCACCGGCTCAGACACGAGCTTTGTACTTGGCAAACGTGGATGAGTGCAGGTCTCTGCCACAGCTGAGCACACTTTTAATTTCGGCACGTCCCAGTCGGGGACATCACAAGTGGACATTGTCAGACCGGAGTATGCTAATGCGCAACATCGCCCTATGTTCACACATGCATTCAGATGTTATAAATAATGAGTTTCAGCACAACCTGTTATCTATTAGCCCCGCAGACAAACACCGACTTTGCTGAGTGTATACAATGTTAGTGGTGAAAATTAATACGATACCGTTTTGGGGATAATTATGAATTTTAATCTTTCATCTGACGACCTTGTGTCTGCATATATGTTTTTAAATTAAAACATTGGTCGCATGCTTAAGTTAGTTCATACTATACAAGGCTAATTTGCATTGCACATGTTGGTTGACATGTAATTCGTGCATTTCACGTTAATATCAGCCAAGGGACAATTTTCTCTAGTAATGAAAATAAAGGCATTTTTATTTTCATGTTCCGCATTTAAATTGGGATGCATCTTCAATCACTCGATCCCGATTGATGGCGAGCCAGTATTTTTCAATGTTTAGGAGATTTTTTTACATTGAAGTGCTTCATTAGCGGCGTAGGTTTAGAATGGTGCTATCATTATTTAAGAGTACTTTGTAAACATTTGGCATAATTGTGGACATCAAGCCATGTAAAAACTACTTACATTAATAATAGGGTGTTAATTCTAGATTTGAAGCTTTCGTGACTGCAATAATTCATACTCTTAGTTCTTTCGGTAAAGTCACGTAGGTAAAAAATATTATTATTAGAATTATTTTATTTTTATTAATTTTAATTTCATTTTTTACCTACGTGACTTTACCAAAAGAACTAAGAGTATTGATAATAGGGTTTCTCCCCTTTTTTCTGACAACAAAACAAATCTTTTTTATAAGGATTCATGTCCGCATTAACCATAATACTTGCAGTCAAAATGCAAAAAAAAAACACACACTGATAATATATGCATTGTCCTTGAAACTGATTGGTCCACACCAGAGACAGCTTTCTTTTGAGCCTCGTCTCATTAACTTGAAATAAAGCACGCGCTTTGTGAAGGGTTTTCATGACCACGATCAAAGTGGGATTTGTGAATATACACTCGCTTTTCTAGCTTCTAAAAGCTACAAACACTTGTTGTGTGTGTTTTCAATGCCTTTGAATCATACCACTTGCAGACGAAAGAGGTTTAAAATAAAAATTGCTCAGTCGCACTGCCCCAAACAAACACACAGGACACGATCGTTGGCGTGCCTCGGTCTCCATGATTCCTTCATTTCCTGATGATCCCAAAAGTTGTTGCCACGCTCCAAACCTGTAAACAAAACCACGCTGCCCCCAATGCTCCAGACCCTTCCTGGCTTCCAATTCAATTTCAGATCAATTTCAAGATTGCGCTTGCTGTCCTTTAAGATGATCCATGGACCCACCCTTGCCTACCACTCCGCTGTTATCTCACTCTACTCCCTTCTATGCATTCTCCCACATCTCCTCTCCTCATCACACTCTACTCCCCTCCTTGCATCTTCTGCTCAAGCAACCCAAGGCTTTCTATCAAAGGCTACAGTCAACCTCAAAGTCTGGGACTCCATTTCCGCAGTCATCCGTGCCTCCTGGTTCAAAACCTTGCTTTTTCTCCCTCTGCCTTTAAGTGACTGCCTCTTTTCAACATAAATGTGCTGCACCGTTTTTTATGCGGTGTATTGAGATCTGATTGCATCCATGCGCCACGTAAATCTACATTGTATTGTAGACGTTCGCAAACAAGATGTATAAACTCGTATGCAGACCCATATACTCGTATAGAAACCCGCACACTGACATTAGAGACCTGTGGACTCGTATAGAAATCCATAGCCACACAACGCAAGGGATTTATCACCGACAGGCGCTATCTGTGCAAAATAAAAATGCCTGACTTTTTCTCACCAGACGCCGCGTTGCCTTTCGGATTCCGTCGCGCTCCCGACGCTGCGTTTACGCCGCACGGCGCGTCGTGAATGTTTCCGTGTGCGCAGATGTGGTCCGCTCGGCGATCGGTGTGCTCGGCTGGACCGTGGTCCTCACTGTGTGGATCTCTATCTACCAGCACTTCCGCCCGCAGTGGGGCGCCACTGGCGACTACATGTCCTTCACCATCCCCTTCGGCATCCCGTGATGTTCGCGAGTTGCCGGCGGCAGGACACCCACCCCCTTCGAGTGCGCACAAGGGCGTTTACACTTGCAGAGAGGGCTCTTGGCATGTTGTTGGCTCAACGGTGGGTCCTCGAATATAGCGGGCTGATTCAGGGGTGGTGGTGGGGTGATCAGGTTTACCAGTTTTATTTTTCATCAATCCATGAAATCTAAATTTATCCCATTCTGCTATTTTTTTTGAACGCACCGTATATTAACACAAGTATATAATAATGAAATATAAACTTACATTTTTTTGTATCGTGAATGCTTGGTTCACAGGTGTGGTGGAGCTAGTGGTGAATCGAAGGATAGCTGAATTAGTTACTGCGTAGTATCGTGCACAACTTGGGACTATCTGGCACACAACGTTACTTGCGCAGTGTGGAGACGCAGCAAACCAGTCGGCACAGCTTTTCATACATTTTTGTTAATGATTGGTTCGTACGATTTTCTACTTTTTTTCTTCTTTAGCTTTGGTTAAATTGTAGGCGTCCCAACAAAAACCCCATTTATATGCAGGATATCGTATACATGCTCACATTTTTGTCCAGGACACACTGTATATATGGGCATCCAGATTCAAGGAAATTCGTGCAAAGGATGTATCCTGCTCAGAGGTCGCAAACGGGTTTTGATTCCTTACCCGTACCCGTACCCGGCCGCACCAGGGTCGCAAACGGGTACGGGTACCTGTACGCTACCCGTACCCTACCCAAAATGAGTGACAAACGGTTACTCACCGATGACTCACGGCCTACCCGTACCTGGCCACACCATGGTCGCAAACGGGTACCCGTACCCGGCCGGGTAGCCGGGTATTGGGTAGGATACGGGTATCGGGTACCCGGTTGCGACCTCTGATCCCGCTTCAGGGTTGGTCACATGCATAGGTGTTCATGTATACAAGGGTCTTTTTTTATGCAAACGATATTAGAAAAATTGGGCACGTTTGAACGTGGATATTTGTGCACTGGGATGTTTTGTGTTCATACTACCGATGCATAATTATTATTGTAAGCTTTTCCACACGTGTGCTTTTTAGATTAGGAAGTATTTGACCTCGTAAGATGCCAGTCAGATTTGGCAGATATCCCAAGTAGCTTACTGCAGGGTAACTACAGCATGCTAACAACGCCCTTTGATTGCCTTGCTGCCTTGCAAGGGATAAAATTTCCTGAATGAACTTATATTTTGCGTGAATTAATTGTGTATATATGGTTTTGAAAGTGTTGCAAACAGTGCAGTGTTTTGTGTTCATACATAACAGTGAAGCTTAGTAATAACCGACGAATTATACAAGCCTTCACAAATGCTCTTTCAGCAAAACAAGTAAATATGCAGCCCTCTTTGGCAATCTACTGTTGGATGAGGGCCTCCTGATCCTGCTTGATGATCAGTGGGTTTGAGAAGGCATGGAGCATAGACTTGTTAGCATAAAGGCAAGGTGAACAAACGCTCTATCTACTTTATTGAAATTACTAAAACGTGCATTTACTGAAATGTTTGGCTTTTTTGAGCATACGTTAATAGACGGTTGAAAAACCTTCCACGTTTATTTGAAGTAATGTGTCCCATATTTTTTGTCATTTCAAGTACTTTCATCTTTGAATAATGTCGTGGTTGAGTTTAAATGCTTCGCGTTTTACTCTCAAATGTCCTCTTGTTATTCCATAAATATGTGTCCGTTTATACTGTGTGGTACACCCAACAGCTTGTGTTTTTCTTAATTTTTAGGATATCAATTGTGGTGTTTTCTTTTGGCGATCTGAAACGTATTGGGACGATTTCGATCTTGTTAATCCAGACGATGTTACTCCGCTGTTCCAATTTCACAGACACTTTGCTTTCGGAAGTGTGTACATTACTGACATTAAATGTTCCCAATGAACAAATAAAGTCGCTTCACATTTGACTGTGAATTGTCATCATTCAAGTTGCAACTTGGAACGACACGCATCGGACCGATACCATTTTCAAATGACTTGGTTCCCACACGTTTTGCCTTCACAAAAATAAACGCAGCCTCAAGTTTTTCAAACCAAATCGCGCAGAATGTGCCTGATCTCATTAGATTTTGTCAGCACAGCAGGTTGGAGCCTGGCGAGACATTCGATTGGTCAGCACCATGCATTAATTCAGGCGTTATCGGCTGGCAGGACAGAAGCGAGCATTGCAGAACTGTCCATTGTACTTCTACGTTCCCCCTGCCTCGAACCCACACAGACCAGCGTGGTGAAGTATGCTCAAATAGCTATCATGACGTGGGGAAGCCTTCATCCAGCAGTGGATTGACGAGGGCTGTAAGTGTACGTGTCTATCGCCTACAATTTTGGCATCCCTTCAAACCTGACCCTCCTATTGCGGTCACGTTTTTCATTTACCAACAGCCACGATCAATACACTGCTGGATGAAAGCCTCCCAAAAGCTGCCACGATATTCGGGGCCGTCCATAAATGACGTCACGCACCTAGGGGGGGGGTTGAGAAATGTGACGTCACATAAAAATGCGCAACTTTAAATAAATATAGAATTGTTATAACAACACTAATTATAGCAACACTCCTACAACATCAGAGTGCAGCGCCACATTAAATACGCACTAAAATGACAATAGTTTAAAGCGATTTGAAGCAAGTTTTATTTTCAAAATGGGAAAGCGAGGATGTCTGTGGGCGTCACTACACACGTATTCTGAAAACGTTCATCATCAGTAGTCCTGGTCAATCCACTGCTGGATGCTGGTCTCCCGCAAGCCGCCACCGCCACCATCCATCCACTTGTGTTGCTGCGATGTGGTCATTTCCATACAACTCGTAGAATCGACACGCGTTTTGAGTATCTGGCTGCTGTAAGTTTCCGCATGATGATGAGACACTTGGTTGAGCTATCATTTGTGGACCAGGTCGCATCTGTAAAAAAATTAACCCGTAAAAACAAAGTTTTTCACTATAAATCCTTTATATGCGTGGCGGCTAGAGTCCTCTCGTCCTCTGGCTTGAGATGGCTGCCACCTATGGGTCAGATGATTGCCTGCCACCATTAAGCAATTGGTAATTAAATATAATTTATTTTTTCCTAAAAAGTGTAAAATTTTGGAGAAAAAAAATTTCACGAAAATAAATTGTCACGCACAACGAGTCTGTGTGCAAAATGTCAGCTCGATTGGATCACGGGAAGTGGGTTAAACAACGACCAAAAGATTTGCACGGTCGTAAGCAAGCAAGCGCGCAAGTGAACTTAATATTAAGGATTAAAAAAAAAGCTTTCTTGCTCAGTGGGCCTTACCGGGTAAATTTGTTTTTAAGTGTATTGTTTAGTTTCAAGCTCACGCCATCCCTCCGTCTCCACGGACGCGTTCCATTCCTTGGCTGCCACTCCATCATTGCGCTTGACCATCGATGAACGACGGAAAGACCCAACGCAGAAGATCCCCTGGGGGGATTTGATCTCCCACGAAGCTGCTCACGGTCCACCCCTAAACCGCATCCACTTCACAAACCATGGCAGCAGCGGATGCGGATATCCCGATGAGCAAAATGGAAAATTAAAAACTCCTCTAGCGGAACAACGGAAAACGACGCAATGGCTCCGATCCACAAATACGTGACTGCAAGGATTCATATTCTTAGGTTTTTTTCTGTAAAGTCACGTCCGTAAATTTTTTTTATAAAAGTAAAATATTTTTATTCATGAGCCGTACGACAACAACAACAACAACAACGAGGAGAATCTTCGCTGCCAGCTGACGTGTCCTGCCCAGGCCCGCGTACTTTTCTGAACAGTTGTCAATCTGTTTTGTCTATATATATAGGGGCCGTCCATAAATGACGTCACGCACCTAGGAGAGGGGGGGGGGGTGAGGTATTTGTGACGATGTGTGACGAGGGGGGGGGGGGGTTGAGAAATGTGACGTCACATCAAAATGCGCAATTTTAAATACATATAGACAATACGTTCTATTTAATTAAATAGACTTTTAAATAAATGTTTTCTCCTACAACATCAGAGTGCAGCGCCACATTAAATACGCACTACAATGACAATAGTTTAAAGCGATTTGAAACATGTTTTATTTTGGGGGGGGGGGGGGGCAGAGCTTTGTGACGTCATATTTGAGGGGGGGGGGTCTGACTTTTTGGGACGCCGTGTGACGATGGGGGAGGGTAAAACATCGTCTACAATCGCGTGACGTCATTTATGGACGGCCCCATAGACAAAAAAAATATTCACAACTGAACAAGCTCGTATATACGGACCCAGTAGCATATCTTGAAAACTATAGACAATCGACAATTTGAAGCATCATTTTAATTCTCAGTGACCCAGAAATAGTAAAGTTGAACTAAGTTTATTGCGGCAGCATTCTGGCTGTAGACCAGCGTCACCTGCGCACGTTCTCTGTTTCACGTGCTCATTCTCTCTGTCTCTCAATGTAAGGGGCCGTCCATAAATGACGTCACGCGATTTTGGAGGATTTTTTACCCCCCCCCCCCCTCGTCACGCGGCGTCACAAAAAGTCAGACCCCCCCCCCCCCCACTCAAATATGACGTCACAAAGCTCTGCCCCCCCCCCCCCTCCCCCAAAACCATATTTTCATTTTGAAAATAAAACATGCTTCAAATCGCTTTAAACTATTGTCATTGCAGTGCGTATTTAGGATTAAATGCTTTACGGGGTGAGTTGAACCCAAAAGTGAGTAACAGGCGCAGAGACGAGAAAAAAGAGCCTCAGCCAAGACATGGAAAATAATAAACGCCGTCTTTCAAAACGAAGGAATCTAGGAAATCGTGGTGGACAACACCAAACGGTGACATTAAGAACGATTTATGAATACTTCACATTTTGAAAACGAAAGAAATCGCATTAAAGCACGCGAATTACATGCTCTGAAAGCTGGAAACGAGCGAACGCATCTAGAATGAAACTAACGCACCGACTGCACCGACTGCCTTTGTACTGGGGCACAGATTTGTGTGTGCGTGTGCTGTGGAAACCGATAAACAATGGAGTCATTTACTGTCGGCTCCATTGCTTTTAAATTCGCGACTGACCACATCGTTTGGCACGGCCTCTCAGCTTAGCTCGGCGTGGTGGGTGGGTGGGTGGTGGGTGGGTGGGTGGGGAGGGTGACACGAAAACGCAGCCAACAAACAACCAAAAATATGCAAAACAAATCCCCTCCGAGGCAGGCAAAATGACGGACGTGTGAATTTTTTTTTTAAATGCTCACGGCGCAATTCTGGTTTCCAGAAAGGGGCTTTGTTCAACCATCCTGCCTCAGCAACGGCGCTCGATATAAATACTTTGGGATGCTCTTCTCTTTTCAAACGACGGGTGCAAGTTCACACGATCTCAGCCGTAACCAAGCAAGCCACGCTCCCTTCACCTCTTAAAACAAACGGAAAGAAAAAAAAACCAACAACACCCCCCGTCTCCGAAACTAGCGCAATGGAAGTGACCATTCAGCACCCGTTCCTGCGTCGCCCCTTCGGCTCGCTCTTCACCAGCCGTCTCTTCGATCAGTTCTTTGGAGAGGGCCTTTTCGACAGCGAGCCTTTCTTTGGGCAGAATGTCTCGCAGAACCCTTTCCTCCTCCTACAGGGCCGATCATCGCCTCTGCAGCGCCTCACGTCCATCCTGGATTCGGGGCTCTCCGAGGTGAGCGGTGCAAACAAACAAACACAAAACAACAACAACAGCGAAACGCGACGCGCGCAACATCCAACCCTTTGGAGTTGCATTGGGAGATAGAAATGTGGAAACGCGTGAATTAGAGATCGTGTCTATGTTACAAATAAGGGTTCGCGCTGTTCAGAAGAACAAAAAAAAGTTATGGGGCTTGAGCACAGTACTTTGTTGCGAGCAATTGCCTCGCGGAGAACGTGGTCGTCTCTGCAACCAGTTGCGGTCGGTTGCGCAACCGGTTGCGAGCAGTCGAGAGAGAATCTGCTCTCAAGAGTCGATCTGCTCGGCGTCTTGCAGTCAGGTTATGTCGCGTGCACATTTTGTTCTTGCAATCCTGAATTCGCAGGTTTAAATTTATCTTTGTGCAACTCACTCGCTCAGATGTGGACACAGCGGTTGCAGGCGATGATTAAGTTGCGCGATATTGAGAGCGGTTTGGTTGCCCGGGCTGATCACGCAGTTACGGACCTTGTGCTTTTAATTGCCGTATTTACTCAAAAGCGCTTATTCATTTCGTTATTCAATAACCATGAATTCTAAGTGAGCCATCCTTAAGGCACGCAGCATAGACGAGTGTAGTGATGAAGAAATCGATTTAAAGCTTTCGTGACTGCAGGGATTCATCTTCTTGGTTCTTTCGGTAAAGTCACGTAGAAGGGAAGTAATAAAATAATAAAAATAAAACAAAATAAAATAATTCTCACGACGTTTCGGCCACAACGCAAGTAGCCGTCCTCAGGTGACAGACCTGGTTTCACCTGAGGACGGCTACTTGCGTTGCGTTGTGGCCGAAACGTCGTGAGAATTATTTTATTATGTTTTATTTTTATTATTTTATTACTTCCCTCCTACGTGACTTTACCGAAAGAACCAAGAAGATGTAGTGATGAAACTTAACTCAATGCATACATCGCACCCAGCTGGTAAGGTCAGCTGCATCATTTACCTCCTCTCCTGGTCCCCCACCCCCACCCCAGGATCGTTCTCTTGTTGAGATGAGGTAGCAGCTGTCCCTGGGGAAACCTGCAAGCCTTCCCGGGAACGCTACAAGTCCACATCTATTTTTTTGTTCAATAATAATAATAATGCACCATCATGACAAAGTCTATTGACATGCGGTGCTCCCCTCTATTCTGGAATTGAGAGATATTCGTCATCCCGTGATATGCCCCTGTGTTTTTTTTAATGTTCCTTAGAGATGGCAACCTCAATAAATAATAATCCAGCCAGTGGACGAGGAGCATCTCCCAGTGGTGATGTTGACACAACGCGCCAGTTACTCATTTAAGGAGGGAGATGCGAGACCGGTTCAGATGTCGCCGGTGCGACCAACGGTCGGGGAACGAATCTAACTCAGGTCGCTACATTCCGTGTTGTATAAATGTCTCTTCAACCGTTTTGATAATATGGGTACATACTCCTAGTTCTTTCGGTAAAGTCACGTAGGTAAAAAAAAGAAAAAAAATTTAATATAAATAAAAGCAATATTAATTTAAATTTCTTTTTTTTTACCTACGTGACTTTACCGAAAGAACTAAGAGTATGAATCCTTGCAGTCACGAAAGCTTCAAATCTAGAATTAATATGGGTACAGCAGTACGTCTGGGCTGGAGCGGCGGTAGAGTGGATAGCCAGGCTCCACTACGAACCTGGCGACCCGAGTTCGATTAATTCCTGCCCCGGGCTAACATCAGTGACCAAGTGATACCGGTCATGCTCTTCACCCCCTTGGCGTCCACAACCCGCACTGACAGGCGTGGTGAAGTATAGTCCAAATGGCATCGTGACACGACGTGGCGTGTGGAGGCCTTAAATATATCTTGTGCGTTTTGTTGAAACTTTATTCACCTGTAAATCGTACAAAAAAAGAACAGAACGACCACTAATAATGAAATGCATAATAGTTCACTTTCTCGGATTGCAATGCGCGCGGGATAACCCCGTGCAGGTAATAATAATCATAGTTTACATTTATTTGTAAAGCTGCGTTCCACCAATGTCTCAATGTTATGTAATGCAAAGCTTGGCCGATTCTTCGGTTAAGCAATGAAGCGAGCAAGATTTCGATTTGATTACTTTTCTGCATATTGTTTTTTTTCGGTAGAGTAACGTAGAAGGGAAATAATAAATAATAAAAATAATTTTTATTTTTTATTTGTTTTATTTTATTATTTCCCTTTTACGTGACTTTACCGAAAGAACCAAGAAAATGAATCCCTGCAGTTACGAAAGCTTTGAATCAATACTTTTCTGCAGTTGATTAATCGGGCCCCTTTCAAAAGTATCGCGATCGATCCCCACATCCTACCGTCCGAAGGAGGGAAACCCCCCACCCCGCCCCCACCCATATAAGCCACGCCCAGTGTAACGCGGTTGATGATGTCGATGACATCGCCAAAGGGGTGCCTTCAAAGAGATGAAGACAAACGTTCTTGTGTAGATCGCATCGAGTGTTTGGGCAAGCGTGTGTTTGGGTGCAAGATATTAAAGCCAGTTCCGCGCAGGTCGGGCTGGAGTGGCTGAGACTACGTCCCGCTACGTCTTTGCATCCCCAACGCTGATGTTTACACACCGCACCAGGTGTTCAACAATGGCTCGACCTCGGGAGAGGCCCGGTAACCGGCTGTACAAGTGACGAATTGGCATGTTCTGTTTACGTGACAACCCTTACAAGTTGGCTGTGTCGGGTGGTGGTGGGTTTTAACGACACATTTATATATTTACGCGATCTAACCCAAAAACCTCTATTTATGGATGAATGATGGACGATGGAGAGTCCGTGGGTAAGTCCGCCGCGGAGATGGAGCGATGAAATCAAGTCCATTCGTAATGTGCATGAGTGCGGTGCACGCTAGCGGCAATGCAGCGTGAGGGATGGCGACAGCGTTCTTAAACATGTGTATGCATCACTTCTTTCGCACCATTGTAACCTCATTTGCCAGTAGAAAAATATGATAATTGTTTTTTTTTTACCCTTTTATCTGGCAACAAACAAAAAACATAACTCTGATAAGGACAGTGTATACATTATCAGAGTTATGTATTTTATTTGCATTACGACTGCAGGTATTGTGGTCTATGCAAACATGACTCCTTGTAAAAAAAGGTGTCAGTTTTGTTGCCACATAAAAGGGTAACAAAACAATTATAACTTCTTTCGCACCGTACGGAGCCAACCGTGCTAATCGGAGGTGCTGGAGAAAGCCAACAAACTAAACACAAAGGCGGTTCTAAAGAAATTCGTTTTCACTCGAGATTTAAACGTGCGCAGCTCCAGCGGCTCCCTAACATCGGAAGCAAGAGCGTTCCAGACGGCCCGCTAGAAGCGCATCTGAAGGCGCCCGATGCAGCGACCGCCTTTGTTCGACGGGTGAGCCAAACAATCATCCAGTAGTGGATAGACATTGACTGCTGCTGCTGCTGATGGATGAATGCGTGCTTGGAGTGCAGCTGCGCGTGGACAGGGAGCGCTTTTCCATCCACCTGGATGTGCGCCACTTCTCCCCCACCGAGCTGAGCGTCAAGATCGTGGACGACTCCATTGAAGTGCACGCCAAGCACGAGGAGCGAGCGGTAATGGCACGCACACGCAGCACCTACCACAAAGACAAAGGTCACCCGTGTAGCCTTAACAGACTGGTGGGGGCAAGTGGTGTGAGCGAGTAGCACCCTAGGATAGGCCAGCACCACGCCCGCCGCCTTTGTCTCCCTGGCGGCGATGTTTTTGCACACCGCAGCAGGTACTTCATTTTAGGCTGAGTCGACCTAGGGGAGGCCCGGGACCGGTTCAGATAATCGCCATTGGCGTTGGCCGTGAGCGGGAATCAAACTCGGTTCGTGAGTGCAGCGGCACTCACCACTTGGGTTGCGACAGGGAATCATTCTCCGGCTCTTACATTTTTTGTTAAAATCAGGATTTTATGAAACAACAACGATGGGGCCAAACTCGAGACCCCTCCGACCCGACGCAACCAGTTTATTGCAAATTTTTATTTTTTATTTTATTTGACCAGGTAAGGCCCACTGAGCTATATTGCTCTTTTTCAGAAGCGACCCGGCCACAAATGAGAGCTCAACGAAGTGGCTTATCAGGTGGAAATTTATAATACCCAAATACTCGAAACGCACGGCGTTTTTTCGAAATGTAGAGGGAAAACGCGGAGGACCTGGAGAAAAATCCACGCGACCACGGGGAGAGAGACACGCAAACTCCAAATATACAGCAGCAGGCGTCAGGATTGGGATCAAACCCACGACCTCCTGTATACCGGGCGAGGTAGTTAACATCTCGTCATTGTGGCGCCTTACATAAAAAGCGGGGGGATGTAAACGCGGGTGTGTGGAGGAGGTGAGTACATTAATCGCCTCTTTCACATAAAGGAATCGAGTCAGGGAGCCAACTTTGCTTTTATCCGTGAGGGTGGACGGGAAGAAGGGGCAGAGGGAGAGGTGGGTGGGGGGGTACATATTCATACTCTTTTGTTCTTTCGGTAAAGTCACGTCGGTAAAAAGAAAAGAAAATTAATGAAAACGTCGTGAATTTTTATTTAATTTTACTTTTATGAATTAAAAAATTTTACCTACGTGACTTTACCGAAAAATAAAATTAAATTAATGAAAACAACTTAATTCATTTATTTTATTTGTTACCTACGTGACTTTACCGAAAGAACCAAAGCGTATGAATCCTTGCAGTCACGAAAAGCTTCAAATCTACATATCTGTTTTCAAAACCAACGCAAGTAACGAGCAGCTTTCCGTGTCCGGCCGTAACCTAAAGGGTGAAACGTCCGCCCCGTGTCCACCCCCCTCCCCTCCAGGACGAGCACGGCCTGGTGTCACGCGAGTTTCTGCGCCGCTACCGTCTCCCCGTAGGCGTCCAGGCCGACTCGGTGACGGCGGCGCTGACCACCGACGGGGTCCTGACTCTGTCGGCGCCGCGTCGCGACGGACGGGAGCCGCGGGACGGGCGCGAGAGCCGCGACACGCGCGAGCGCCCGGTGCACATCGCGTGCGACGACAAGTCCTCCCCCGTGGGGCCTCCTCCCCCCGAGCGCAAGTGAAGGGAAAGGTGGCGGGGGGGGAGAAGCGAAACGCACGAATTTGTTGTGTACTGCATATACCGCGTGCGTTGACTGCTTTCGACGGCCACTGCTACTACTGCGACCGCCGCTATCGCTACGCGCGCACGCACTCACGCACACTCACGCACTCATACACACTCACTCATACACACTCACTCACGCATACACACTCACTCACGCATACACACTCACGCACTCATACACACTCACTCACGCATACACACTCACACACTCACGCAAGCACACTCACGCACGCAAGCACACTCACTCACGCAAGTACACTCACGCACGCACGCAAGCACACACGCATTCACACACGCACGCACACGGGCACTTACCTGCAGCGGTGTTTTAAATTAACAAACCAAAAAAGGTGCTATCCCACCCAGTAAACGTGTGACGTTGGTGCGACGTCGGCATGTTGTCGGGACCGTGAGGCCAACGTTGGCACGACGTTAGCCCAACGTTTCGTGTTTACTGCGCAATTATTGCTCTTCATCGGCACGAGAACCATCTGGGCACATGCATGAACGCATAATCTACGCGCAAGAATGCTCACAAGCACGCGTACAATGTGTGTTCGGGAAGTTGAAAAAGAAACACATTTTAAAAAATCGTGTTCAAATTACTCTAGATACATCCATCACGGTCCAAGATGTACACTTATACACAATAAAGTAAAAAAACAAACCTTTCGCAAACGCAAAATCAATATTTACGAAATCGAATATTCCAATAGTTCCCTGTGATAAGATATGAATGTTATAATATATGATAGTTCAAGTGAGATGTGTAATTCCATTTAGGGTCGTTTCAATTGTGTCTGGTGTATAATTGGCACTGAATTGATGGACGGACGACTCTATGGGTCTTTGATTATTGTTCTAAACGCATGTCGTGTGCATGCTATTACAGAGGTAGGAGTAGTGGCGAGTCAGAGAGATTTGTGTAAATGCGTGGGCATCCGTTGACAGCTGAAGCATGACTTTAGAAATTAAGAAAAGGATATCGTTTCGTCTGGAAAATAGCCATTCCCTTCGTATTACGACTTGCTTAATCATGTTTAAACCGTGACAAGTTATTAAACATCAGAAATAGTGAGAAAAACAATTCGCAAAAATGCTATTTGAAAGCACGTTATTGACAAGTTTCTGAAATAACTGCTTACTAGGCAATGAACCGCTTCGACTATTAGCGATTCGGAAAGCCAAACAAGAGCAATGCGTGTGACGATAGTTGCTGTTGAAAATGTCATGTGGGGAAGGGACCCATACTCCCGCAAGTGATAAGTGTGCCTCGTGTACGGTGACACGTTGTGATCTGTCGCTAACTACTGTGGGAGCAGGATGACACCTTACCGATCACGCACTGTGATACCAGGCCGATGATAAGATGAAATAATTGAATTTCCCCGCTTGCACGAGTCGAACGCAGCTCCGTCCTGCTGGTCGGCTGCTCGCGACATACACCGCCGCTTCGCTCATCTCTTTTTTGTTTTTCCCGAAGTGGCGCTCAACTGAGCACAAATGTAACGGCAAAATAAAATGCAATCACGTGACTAACATCCGCTGTCTGTCCTCTGGTCTCATTTCTCTTGGCATTGAGGGGTTTGGAGTGCGCTGCGTGGCGCTGCCTGTCCGCTACGGCGTACAGGGTTCAGAAAGGTGGCCATCAGACGAAGAGATAACGCGTTGTAACACGATTGTTGTTCCTGGGGTAGTAAGTGTTATTTTCTAATCGCTTATGCCTCTAAAGTATAGAGAATGGCTCTTTATTCCCCACAAACTTGGCTTTTGTGAAACAGGACTTTATGTGGAGGAATGACACAAATGCACACCACGTTTTCTCATTGAAAATAGGTACATTTCAAAATATCACTGTGCTGGTCACAAAAGCAAAGTTTGTGGGGAGTAATAGACGTTTTATGTACTTTTGAGGCATAAGCAATTAGGAAATAACACTTACTACCCAGCAACAAAAAAATAGTAAATTAGTTACACAGTTTAAATTTAAAGCTTTCGTGACTGCAGGAATTCATATTCTTGGTTCTTTCGGTAAAGTCACGTAGAAGGGAAATAATAAAATAATAAAAATATAAAACAATAAAAATTATCTCTTTGTGTCCTGGTCATAAAAGCAAAGTTTGTGGGGAATAATAGCCACTGTCTGTTCTTTTGAGGCATAAGCAATTGGGAAATAACACTTAATACCCAGGAACAAACATAAATTGTTTCGTTACACAGTGTAATCGAACGCAACCAGAAATATTTTGCGTGGAGTCGATAAAAAACCAACACGCTTAGGAATTGCATTGAGTAGACGTGAAGATGAACGCTTGGCTCGGAGAGAGTACGCACGCAGATTGACGGCATCGTTCGAGTTGCCGAGAGACGTAAAGAGGACCTCAAGCAGCACGCGTCCGCGGCGAGAAGAGACGGAGCGATGAAATCAGCTCCTGTGCAGTCGGTTGGATCATTACATATTTTGTGGTTCTTTTGGTAAAGTCACGTAGATAGAACATATTGACAGGTAGGAACAAACAGTTCCACACTGCCCACCAGGGATTATTTGTCTGTCTGTCGTGCACGAACGTGCTGTCCAACCAAGTTCCTACCTGCCCACTCCGAAGGAACGTGTTTATTAAAAATAAATAAAAGAAAGTAAATTATTTTAATTCTCGATTTAAAGCTTTCGTGACTGCAGTGATTCATCTTCTTGGTTCTTTCGGTAAAGTCACGTAGAAGGGAAATAATAAAATAATAAAAAATAAAACATCAAATAATTCTCACGACGTTTCGGCCACAATGCAAGCAGCCGGCTGCTTGCGTTGTGGCCTTACCGAAAGAACCAAGAAGATATTTTAATTATATTTACTTTTCTAAAAAATGTGTATTTTTTATTATTTTTCTACGTGACTTTACCGAAAGAACCAAAGAATATGAATTCCTGCAGTCACGAAAGTTACAAGTCAAAATTTGGATTATTACGTCACAGGATCGTGAGAGGCGGCGGCGGTGGCGGCTTGTGGTGGCCTTCATCCAGCAGTGGATTGACCATGGCTGATGATGATGGATTGCGTTGTTGGATCTAGTTGTAACTTCCTTTACACGTGAGACGCATTCCTTGATGTGGCCCTTTCACAACATGCGCGTCGTGGGAGGTTAAATGCCCATACTTCACCACTTTCGATTTAAATCTTTCGTGACTGCAGGGATTTATCTTCTTGGTTCTTTCGGTAAAGTCACGTAGAAGGGAAATAATAAAATAATACAAATTTCACCATAATAGAAAAAAAAATTCTCACGACGTTTCGGCCACAACACAAGCAGCCGTCCTCAGGTGAAGAAACAGAGCTGTCAGAAAGACAGCGTCTTTCCGACGCTGTCTTTCCGACGCTTGTGTTGTGGCCGAAACGTCGTGAGAATTTTTATTTTATTATGTTTGATTTTTATTATTTTATTATTTCCCTTCACCACACTGTGTTGGTTGATGAAGAAAGAGGAAACACAGGCGTGAGATGATGGGATGCATGATGGTCGTACATCCAAGCACTATGTATGACAATATAAATGAACCAATATATATATACAATATATATTTTTTATCTACGTGACTTTACCGAAATAACTAAGAGTATGAATCCTTGCAGTCACGAAAGCTTCAAATCTAGAATGTATGACAGGCTCACCGATAATTGGTTCACGGAAATCCCCTTACCAACGCGATTTGTTTTATGATTGTGCACATTACGAACACGGCAGAAAATCCATCATAATGTCCGCCGTGTTCACTTTTCGCTCTATCTGCGTCAAAGCAGGATTCATCTTTTTTGGCGAGATACACACGAACAAAAGGGATCCCGCTCTGGCAGTCCCCCACATCATCAAATCGGACAAGAGGATGTTGGCAGTATCATGCCAGCGATGGTCATACTTCCTGACCCTGCGAGCAGAATGACCAACACCTCCACGTGATCGAGATCAGTCAGGACGCAAATGGGCCGATCACGCGGCCGGTTCGTGGCGGGGTCTGTTTGAATTTAGAAATCTGCGGCAGCGCCCTCGGGAGGACTCAAGTCTGAGCTCCAGTGCTAAGGGGACAGTGGCCCAAGTCAGCCGGACGGTGGTGGTTCAAGTTCAAGTTCATTTATTAGGTATAGCCCTGTGAGCCATTCGGCTCTTGAATCGGGTGCAACCGCAACAAACAAAAAAAATGAACAAAAAACATCTTAAAGTGAATATGTGACTAAGTGCAAACAGAAAATCCAAGAAAAGACAGTAAAATATTGCAGAAAAAGCACCGTACACAAAAATGTGCAAAAATCCTAGTGGGATGCAAGTCAAACAACAACAACCACAAGACAACTTAGATCAAGGCCATCAGTCTAACTCTGTACTACAACAAACAAACATGGCCAAACCAAAAAACTTATCGAAAATCACCAAAATAAAGCCATAAAAGCAATGAAACAACAGTGATCATAGGAACTGTGACCGAATTTTCACAATAAACGACGGAAACAAACTCTGCAGCCATAGCTGGCTGCATGAGTCACTCCACAACAGTAGGAGCATCAGTCGGAGTATCAACATTTTTCAATGTACCTTTAAGATCAGCTATGCACGTGGCCTGTAGCCCAGCACCATGCAGGCAGCAGCGTGGGTTGGCGAATCACACAAATGTTGCCAAACTCTCTTCCCGCGTGCGTGGAGGTGCCCATACCCTGGCTCGCCGTCCGTGTGGGATCGCGTGTTTCCCCCTCGCACGCGTGGAGTTTTCTCCAGGTGCTCCGGTTTCCTCCCGCGTGTTATTATGGTTACGCCGCCTTCGCAGATTTCTCTTTGGTGTTTAAAAGAAAGTTACGCCGTATTGCAAGGTTATAAATGAGCTGCGATACTATTATGGGCAATATATAGCTATTACATAAACATTAGACGTTCATTTTGACATCTGGCTGTCAACAAGAGAGTGGCAAACTTTCACGTGACTGCTTCATATCGAGCCTGTGCGAATCACCTATTTGCCGGATTGTAAGACGCCCCAGAAAGTCAGAGGCACTCCCAGTGTTGTGTCTTGCGTTCATTCGCGTATACAAATTTGGCCTCACACACACACACGCGCACACGCGCAAATACTGTACTGGATTATAAGACGCACCCCAAACTCTTACTTGAAAATACAGGGGGGGGAGGGGAAGGAGCGCGTCCTATTATCCGGAGAACAATGTATTCATTTAATTTTACAATTCGATTAATTTTCATGGTTCTGTGCCGCGTATCAACAGACTCTGCCTTCTCGACAGACCTGTTCTCTACCTGAAGACGGCTGCTTGCGTTGTGGCCGAAACGTCGTGAGAATTATTTTATTATGTTTTATTTTATTATTTTATTATTTTCCTTCTACGTGATTTTACAGAAAGAACCAAGAAGATATAAAATGTATTTCCCCTCGTCATGAATGTAGCGGCCTCTAGTGGCAGTAGTGGGCACGTGAACCCAGGTTGGCTACGTACGGTGCGAAAAAAGTCCAACATACATACAAACAAAAACGAGTTGAAAATAATGAACTTTTTTTAAATCCTTTATATTAAGTTCGCTTGCTTGCTTGCTTGCGTGCTTGCGTGCTTGCTTGCTTGCTTTCGACCGTGCAAATCTTTCGGTCGTTTAACCCACTTCCCGTGATCCAATCGAGCTGAGATTTTGCACACAGACTCGTTGTGCGAGACAATTAATGTTCGTGAATTTTTTTTCTCCAAAATTTTACACTGTTTAGGGAAAACAAATTAAATATTTAATTACCAATTGCTTAATACTGGCAGACAATCATCTGACCCATAGGTGGCAGCCATCTCAAGCCAGAGGACGAGAGGACTCTAGCCGCCACGCATACAAAGGATTTAGAGTGAAAAACTTAGTTTTTACGGGTTATTTTTTTTCGTACCATGTATGGTGAGCGAACTAATCGACCGTAATCGATTTACCAACGTGTGCTATACAATCCGTCACTAACGTTGTACCAGCCACCCACTCGTCGAAACAAAATGGTTATGGACCATCAATTTCCAAAGTTCGTCAGATCGCGAAAGCCAAGCAGGATTTCGTGTCTGGATATTTCTTGCATCGGTGACCACAAAGCGGAGCATACGCAAAAAAAAAGAAACGACCTGACCAGAATGTATAGCTGAGCGAAGTGGATTATCACGTGGAAATCTATAACAACCAAATATTCTTAAAGCATGTTGATGATTCTGTGAACGTGGAGGAAAAACCCGGAGGACCGGAGAAAAATCCACACAAACACAGCGAGACACTCAAACTCCAAATATTCAGCAGCAGGCGTGAGAGTCGGAATCGAACCCACGACCTCCTTGTATACCGGGCGAGGTAGTTAACATCTCCCAGCCACCGTGATGCCACACGTCTATCAGCGGATGGCAGTGCGTAAAAATCCACGTGTGTGCTTCGCCCGCTTTCAGCAACCCCCGTGAACCAGCGTGGTGAAGTATGGTCACATAACCGCCGCGGCCCCCCCTCATCCAGCAGTGAATTGACTGATAGA